AGATATGAAAGTGATAGATTTAAAACAATTTAATAACGAATAGTAAAAATTATGAGGAAGAATTTGTTAAAAATTTGTTAGAAAGTATTATGACTGATAGGATAGAAAAGGAAAACTTAGAGAAGCAAACAAGAGCGAAAGAATTACAGTTAGAACAGGAAGCTAGGGAGAGGGAATTTCAGATACTACAACAAAATAAAGAAATTGAAAAGCAACAGTTAGAACTAGAATGCCTTAAAGCAAAACAGAACACTGAATCTGCTAAACCTGGAGGTGAAACGGTATTTAATCAGAATTTTCAGAAACTTAATGCCCAAGTTTAATTTAAAAAACTGATGATATCAGTTTATTCTTAGAACTTTTTGAGAGGCAAGCTAAAGTTCTAAAATTGCCCACGGATCAATGGGTGTCATATCTCATTGGTGTCCTTCCGGTTGAGGTAAATAATATAATTGCTAGGGAACCTGAAGAACAGGCTAGAGATTACCAACATATTAAAGAATTACTACTTAAAAGATTTAAATTAAGTGCGGAGAAGTTTCGGCAACTTCTTGTTAAGACTCAGAAAAATCCGGATTCTACGTGGTACGATTTTTATCACGAAATTAAGACATTTTTAGATGGGTGGCTTTAAGGGATTAAAAATCGAAACATTTGAGCAACTCAAGGATTTAATGTTGGTAGATCAGATTAAAAGGCGCACGCCTAATGAGTTTAAGGAACATTTTATAGATGAATGGGCCACGATCACTTCACCAAAACAGTTGGTGGGTAAAATAGAGGAATTTGAAGATGCGAAAAAGACGATGGTTGGGAAAACGAAATTGGGTGAAATGAAAACGAAAATATCAGGTAGACAAATGGGTGTTTTTCAGTCCACTGGTAACGTTTTCAAAAATAGAAAAAACCCTCAAGGCACACAATTTAAAAAAGATGATGATGCACGCAATGTTGGGAAAAAGTCGGACTCGAATTTTGATAGGAGAAAAAGACTCCAGTGCTATGAATGTGGATCTTTTGACCATTTACGTCCTCAGTGCCCTAATTTTAAAACTCAAAAGGCAGATTTGTATCGGATAAGCGGGAGATCAGAGAAGAATCTGTTAGATCCCTATACATTAAATGGAAGAGTAAATGGTTTTGAAGTACCTATTCTAAGAGATACAGGAGCAACGGTAGATATTATTTGTCAGAAATATGTAGACAGAGATAGAATGAAGGGAGAACATGTGTGGGTTCGACATTTGTTGGATGATCATATGACTTGTTTACCTGTTGCTGAAGTAGATATTGAATGCGATTTGGGTACAGTAACCACCAAAGCAGCTGTTATAGGAGACCACTTAGACCAAGGACGATATATATTAGGCAACCAGACAGCGGCTCTTCTCAGAGGAACTGAGAAAAATTATTCGTCGTATGTCGGTAATGTTAATGCGGTCGTTACTCGATCTCAAGCACGACAATTTAAGGAAGCGGAAAATTTAATGTGAGACGAATCAAAATTCTGAGCAGAATGAGTTAGAATTGGAAGAGGAGGACGATGCTCATGAGAGAGGTCTGAAAACAGAGAGATATTGCCTCCTGTCGACCTTTGTGTCCCCACAAGTCCTGCGATTCAAATAGACTCAAGTACTTTTATTGATGAACAACAAAAAAGTAAAGAACTTGCCCCTTTATTAGAACTAGTAAAAAGCGGAAGAAGTAAAACAAGTTATGGGATTAAAAATGGGGTTTTAGTAAAAAAGAAGGTAAATAAGTTAGGAGGAGAAGAACATTTAATTGTTGTTCCAGAAAACCTCAGAGAGCAAATTAAAGCAATTTGTCATGAAGGAACTTCAGGTCACTTAGGAGTTCTGAAAACAAAAGACCGGTTACTAAGACATTTTTTCTGGCCAAATTGTTATAAAGACATTGAGGAATTCGTTAAAACATGCGACTCCTGTCAACGTGTAGGAAAAGCAAGTGACAAAAAGAAAGCACCGTTGGTAATAGTACCTGTGATATCTGAAGTCTTTAGTAAGGTTAATGTAGATGCTTGCGGGCCTATGCCTACATCTACTGAAGGTAATAAATATCTTATTACAGTTATGTGCTTAGCATCTAAATATCCTGACGCCGTCCCGGTACCGGATATAACGTCGAAATCTGTTGTAAGTGCACTCTTGCAGGTATTTAGTCGGATGGGTTTTCCAAGGGAGGTTCAAACTGATCAAGGAAAATCTTTCATGAGTCGCTTAACCGTTGAATTTTTGAAGAGGTTTGGTATAAAAATTTCCAGAAGTTCGGTTTACCACCCCCAGAGCAATCCTGTAGAACGGTTCCATAGGTCAATAAAAAGGGTCTTAAAGGTATTATGTATTGAAGCTGCCCCAAATTGGGAAGTACAATTACCTGCCGCTCTCTTTGCCCTGCGGACAGTAACGCATGATAGTACAGGATTTAGTCCAGCTGAATTAGTGTACGGGACCAACCTCAGAACACCTGTCGCATTATTGTATGAGAAATGGTTAGATCCTCAGGAAAAAGAAGATACCGTAATAGAATATGTTTTCGAATTAATCAATAGGTTAAAGAAATGGAGAGAATTAGCTACAGAGAAAATGGAAGAGGTGACAGACAAAAGGAAGAAATGGTATGACAAAAATGCCGTGAAAAGGGAATTCCAGCCAGGAGATTCTGTATTAGTATTAGCATTGAACCAACCCCATAAACTCGCTCCTCAACGGAAAGGGCCGGGGAAAATATAGAAAAGATTATCAGAAACAAACTATGTGGTTAGTTTTGAAGGGAATCAAGAAGGGAATAAAGTGTATCACATCAATATGTTAAAACCTTATCATAATAGACCTGAACTTTTGAATATGGTGCTCCTTGACAATGAGGAGATAGTTGAACCCTCGGAATTAGAGGAGGATTTTCCTTATATGTTAACCGACCCCAATGTGTTTGATTTTAATGAAATAATAGCAAAAGATAATCTTAAAGAAAGACTTAGTAATGAACAAATCCTGCAGTTGGGAAAGTTGTTGGTAAAGTTTTCTGCTATATTTTCGAATATTCCAGGGAAAACAAATTTAGTCGAACATGATATCGAACTAATCAGTGACAAACGCGTCGAGATTGAAAAAATGTTAAAATACAAGATTATTGAACCAGGACCCTCTGAGTATACTTCACCCATGATCCTAGGCCTTGTATTGATTATAGAAAGTTAAACGAAATAACGCGTACTGAGTTCTATCCGATCCCCAATATAGAGCAACGTGTTGAAACTGTTGCAGCAGCCAAATTTATCACCTTGATAGACTTAACTAAAGGTTATTGGCAAATTCCGCTGACCCCTAGAGCGCAGAAAATTGCTGCATTTGCTACAAATTTTGGTGTATATAGGCCTTTGCGCATGCCATTTGGGCTTAAAAATGCTCCTTATTATTTCAGTAAAATGATGAGCGAAATATTGTGCGGATGTGAGAAATATGCTACCCCTTATTTAGATGATATTGCTATTTTTTCTGAAACGTGGGAGGAACATTTACAACATTTACATGAAATTTTAGAAAGAATAAGAAAAGCCAATTTAACTATTAAACCCTCTAAGTGCAAGTTTGCACAAGAAGAAGTGCAATATCTCGGTCACATAGTAGGTCGAGGAAAACGTTCTCCAGCAGAACTAAAAATCGAGGCGGTTCAAAATTTTCCTGTTCCCACAACTAAAACTGAGATTAGAGCTTTTTTAGGGTTAGCTGGATACTACAGACAATATATACCTATGTTTTCTGCTATAGCCGCACCTTTGACAGATTTGTTAAAAGGGAATAACAAAAAGGGTAAAATTGTTTGGAATGATGAATGTAATGAATCATTCAAATCCTTAAAAGAAAAGCTATCTAGTAACCTGTGCTACATGCACCCGATTTTTCTAAACCATTTATACTACAGACAGACGCATCAGATCAAGGATATGGTGTTGTTTTAGCCCAAAAAGATGATAAAGGAGAACATCCCATATTGTATCTCAGTAAAAAATTTACTGATAGTGAGCGAAAGTATTCCACCACTGAAAAAGAGTGTGCCGCAATTCTGTATGGAATAAAAAAATTGAAAGGGTATATAGATGCGCAGACTAAATTTTCCATTCAAACGAACCATAATCCGCTAGTATGGCTAAAAAAATAATGCAGGTAGAAATGGTCGATTATTACGCTGGGCCTTAGCCTTGCAATCTTATAATTTTACCATACATCATAAAAAGGGAAGTGACAACTTAAATGTAGACTGCTTAAGTAGAAACTCTGTACATGCCAGTTAAATAGACTAGTTATCATTTCTTTTAAATTGTCTTGTTATTTGATTATGTATATTGTATTTTTTTTTTAAATTCATACTATATAGTAAATTGTTAGCTTTATTCTTAAAGACAAAATTTCTGTGTTGGTTTTTAATATATTGTATATGTATTGTTATATGTGTTTTTTTTTATCATGGCCTGGTTATGAGAGTGGAGAGCCTTTGTAACAGTGTGGTTTAAAATTAACTGGTAAAATGTTGAACAATCTGTATTGAAACCATAAACTGCGAAGGTTTACTTCTCCTGTGTCCGGAGAAACAAAAGATGGAGGCGGAAGGTGTTTGTTTAACGGTTTAAAACGCAACCATGCGTTCCATGATGAAATTATTCGTTTTGGTGTATTTTACTACTCCTTAACGTTTTTCCGTTAATTTTGTATGTATGACTGAGGTATGCACATCATTCAGTGAGATTTCTTTCCTTACATTCCTTCAACGTGATTTTCTACATATCAATAAAAGCTCTGAGGATATACAAATAAGTTTTAAAAAAGCGCTTTTCATTAATAATTACACTCACATATAGCATAAAAGTTAACACTTTCCTTTCCAGATTCGAGCATAGATGCATTTCACAATAATCGTTTGCGTAAAAGTATATAATATCTTATATAGTTAAAAAATGAATTGAGAAGCTTACACTGACCATTTAAACCGCCCCAAAAAACTGTTATCCAGGTAATATCTTTCGCAAAAAAGCACCCGACGCAGCTGACAATGCCAAGGAGTGCACCGACAAAGGTAACTACCGATACGCCGTATTTTTGACCCAAAATGCCAGCAATAGGACCTGTAATTAAAAGAGTTATTTATAAACGGGGCGAGATTTATTCTTAGACAAGGAAATATAAATTTTAATAACTAAAATAATTTTCTTTAACATGACATTATTAATCACACAAATGAGCTGCGAGAACAGTAATATATAAGAAATATTCACTTAGTTATAAAAATCTCGTGTTATGAATTAAAAAAAGTTTTGAAGAACTAACTACCAGATACCACATAGGATTTTATTTGGGGGGAGAAAAGGTGATATATTGCAACGCAAGTGTGATAGCAGATATAGTCCCAGCATATAATTTCTGCTGACACAATGAACTAAAATTGCAGGATAAGAGAAATACAGACCTCGCAATACCTGAAGGTATTATTTAGATTAGACCTCGGCAACCTCTGATCCGCAGGTCATCGAGTGATACGTTTCATATTTCAAATGATCCACAAAATTAGAATATAATGTATAAAAATAAATTAGAAAACGTAAATATAAAATGAATATTTTATAGGGTATTTTTATTTCAGTTAATCAGTTATTATAATTTAGACCTTTATTATAACTTCTCCTTTTCGTTTCCTCACCAGAAATGTAAATAAGTTAGAGAGTATTTAAGCTGAGGTGTTTGGATTGTAAGAAAGCGAGTTTCTGGCTCTCAAGTGCAGGTTGTTTAGTTTTGCTAGCTCTGATAAAATTGTAATTATTTGGCTTTGCGTTGTAGTTGCCGTCATTTAAATTGTTACGGCGGTTGAAATTCTGAGCAAACTTAGAGTAGTTTACATTTTAATTTTGAATTTGACTGTTACCTTAAGTTGCATCCATCTGGATGGTGGTTAATTATGTAAGCACAAGAAAAGTACTTTTTCTTAAAAAATACTTACATATTTTCTTAATAATCTTATGGAAAATTTTTACGCTTAATAATAAAATCTAGATGAGGAAACTATTCTCCAATGGAAAAAAAATTAATGAGTTCTATTTACAAAAATGCAATTTTCACTAAATTTACAAAAACTGTTGCTCATATGGAAAACGATACAGCATCATTAAATAACATATCGTGTTAAACAGGCATTTCAAAGATTAAAAACATAAAAACATCCATATAAATATAGATATAGATTTATTTGAATTTTTTTAATTACTAATTACCAGGAAGAATACAAGATTTATTACGACGCTAATATTGAATGTTTAGAAGCTGCAGTTCGCCATTTTCATACAAAATATGGTAGGAATGCTTAGCTGCCGTTCAACAAGTCGTTCAACACAAAATATTGAAGCAGTTCGTGAGAATTTGCTGAGAGTCCAGGAACACCAATTCAGCATTGTGGTCAAGAATTGGATATTTCGAGAAGTTCTGTTCAGTGTATTCTCACAAAAGATTCACATCTTCATGCTTATAAACGAACAACGAAGAGACTTCTTGAATGACTTCGGGAACAACAACAAGTGGAGGCTGATTTTTCAGCAAAATCATCTTCAGCGATGAGGCTCATTTTCATTTTGATGGCTCGGTTAAATTGACAAAACCGTCGCATTTCGGGTTCAAAAAATTCCACGAGTGATTGCTGAGAAACAAATGCATCCACAATATGGCATTGTTTGGGGCGGAATTTAGGCTGGAGACATCACGGAAACATTATTCTTCAAAAATGTGGCTCGTCAGACAATAACAATTAATACAATGGCTCAATATTGTGGAATCTCATTGCGAATACTGCACTAGATATAGATTTTGAATGAAACGCAGAAGTCCAGGCCTACTCCGACGACTTTATCCTAATCATTCAAGGAAGTAATCTCACCGAAAAAGAAAACAAAGCGAAAAAGGCAGTAGATCTTATCACTGACTGGAGCCTCAAACTCAAGCTTAATTTCAGCATCGAGGAGACAAAAATGATCACCTTTCCAAAGGGTTATGAACTTATAAATAGCCCTCTTTGTATAAAATGTCAGGGCCAAGCACTAAAAAATGAAGATATTACCTAGATACTAGCATTCTTAGAAGATATACCTAGCATTCCTATAAGAAATACCTAGCATTCTTACTTAGTAGAAAACTCACCTGGATAACACTTAACGTTGATGCGAGATAAAACCTGCAATCTTATCAATAGCTTAAATCGCATCGTCACAAATAAATGGATCCTAAAAGGGAAACTTTTGAAAGAACTCTATCTGCGGGGCATTGAAATGATAATCCTTTACGGCTCTCCTATCTGGATAACTGGCATGGTAAAGGTTCGTCAGAAGATACTCCAAATTCAACACATCACCCTTCTCAAGATCACTAAGTGTTTCACTACCATATCCCCAGCAGCTCTTCAAATCCTTGCAGGGGTTCTCCCCTTAGATCTCAAAGCAGAGATTGAATGTGGCACTTACAGGTTAGTTCATTTTTAAGGAACTCTTTCCAGCTTGATGTCTCCTCGTACATAGACCAGCGCTGCTTAGAAGCACAATGCCACTATACTTCCGTCCATCCAGCTTTCACGAAAGATCTAAAATGGCTTAAGCATTTACTAAAAGGACAGGACTTAGAAATCTTTTCTGATGGCTCCAAAGTGTCAGAGCAAGTAGGTGCAGTCTGTCGCGTTCCACAACAGTACATAAATTCACTCAGCATGTTTCAGACTTAGCGACCACACACAGGTTTTCCAGGCTAAGTCCTTCGCTTTAAAGAAGGCAGTTCTTTGGGCGGGCAACACCAATTTTCCATCCATCAGATTCTACACGGACAGCATGATCGTTTTACAGGCCCTGAACAAAACGGGCACTCAAGCCTTCCACACCTCCTCATTAAAAGAAGTGCTTATTACCCGGTCCTATTCCAGACAAGTGTCTCTATGCTGGGTACGTAGGAATCAAAGTACCCAAGGTACTGTACTATACCCCTAATATAAACAGAAACTATTGCAGTGTAACTAGGACTAGATCTTATTGTACTGCAATAGTTTCTGTTTATATTAGGGGTATAGTTATTGTCTTGTTTAAAATTTAAATTTTCTCTGAACTGGATGAAAGTATTTTTTGCATAGCTACAATGTCTTAATGTATTATACTTACAATGTGAGTAGTTCCAATGTAGGTAGCACAGTAATGTGTTAGTGTTCCTGCACATCATGTTTCTCAGCCTAAAGGGTGCAGTTTTATTATTGGCCGGCAGTTAATGTATTGTTAAGATAACTGCTTCGATCCTAGGATTCCTGGAATTGGATTTATGTAGTATTTCCGTTTCTTTTGTAAGCTGCACATAATGTCTAGAGCTTGATTGTATTGTATTGTATTAATATGTGCTAATGTTAAGGGCACAGTTATTGTTCTGTATACTATGTAACCTAACTCTAATTTGCATGAAAGGTTAAGGTGCATAGGTTTTTTTTTTAATGTTCTTACGTATTGTGCTAACAATGTGAATAGCTATAATGTCGTTCGAATAATAAATTTTTTAGTGTTTCTGCACACCTTGAACTTTGTTTAAACGGTGAAGATTAATTATTGGTTTGTGGACAAGGTATGGTTATGCTTTGACTACTGCCTCAATCATAGGCCTTCTTAAGATGTGACTAACGCAATCTTTCAATACCTTTACCGAGACTTTCTTAGGCTTAATTACACATTAATTATGCCCGAACTGATGTAATGTATTATCATTTTAACTACTGCGAGATAAATTTCGACTAGGGTATGCATTAACAGCCTAAGTACGGGGCATAGTTTTATCCTGCATGTACTGTAGAATTGTTCGTAGGTACTGTTTAATTGAATTGTATTAGAAAGTTGCAATGTACATAAGTTTAGATCGGCAATGGCTTTACGTCCATATCGTGACTAGTCCTTTGACAATTGATAACAGAACTGAGTTAGGGGGCATATGAGCTATTGGATAGTTTACAGTATTATGATTAAGCCTGAAGATTTTAAGTCACTGATATTCTGAAGACTAAGTTTATTAAGTATCGGGTACCGTTAGTAATTATGTAAATTTTTTGTTCTAGGTTTACCAAACATAGTTGATTATATTAGACTCAGATTTTCTTAAGAGAATTAGGCTGTGACCTGTCAATATTGTTTTTTTTGCTGTAGAGTAATTTAAGGTCATTATGTCTTTGGTTTGTTTAACTCGAGCAACACTTAAGCAGTACTTTCCATTAATATTTGTACGGTTTTACATCTATGATTCAGTATATGTAAAGATTTTCTTGTGTATGTTACTAAGCGAAGTCGAAAATTGGCTAAATAGCTTTCTTAACTTAGATGACACGGATTCAGATAGCATCTTCAGTAGACTTGCACTCAACTTACTCATCTCCTTTGCTTATCAAAAATACTTTGCCGCATCATTTGGCAGGACTTCCTTAAATTAGTCGAATAAGTACCAGACAGAGAATGATGATTGAAACTAGAAACTAAGTGAATAATTCGTTTTAGGCAGTCTACTCTGCCTGGCCCCCAGAAGTGGCTGTGAATCAGCAGAGAGTAGACAGCTTCTGCGGAGAGAATATTATGCTGCAAGGCTGTTAAAATAGCTTGAGGGTCAGCAGTCCTCTTCTGCAGTGTAACGGTAACGAAAGGGCTGACGTTTTAGCTACAGAGTGATACCACGTTCCATAATCACTGCCACACACTAGATCTTCTGCGCCTTTATGTCCATCTGGCAAGCTCTTTGGGACGACTCAGACACCAGTGGACGCACCTACTGCATCTTTTTTGCGGTCTACACCAATTTCTATTTACAACAAGCTTTCACAAATCACAGAAGATTTCTCACCTACCTCAGCAGGTTCTGCCATCAATACGTCAAATGCGCCTATGGTGCCTCAGCTTCCTCAGCAAATGTCTCACGTTACATTCACGATTGTCCACTTACTTCTCCCATCAGAGCCGCCCTTCCTCAGCTCCAGGAATCACAAAGCCTCAAAAATTCAGGATTCTTCAGGATTACTACGGACAGCGGGGCGTCAGAACCATCATAGAGTACGTCTATTCTAAGAGAAATATAATCATAGCAGATAACCAGGTCTAGGCACCTGACGAAATGTAAAAGCAGCAAGCTTCCATTCTTGTATACATGTAAATATCTCTAAACTAACTGACCCTTTTTGCTAATTTTGTACTAACATACCCAAAACATTGTAAGAAGAGGTGAAGCAGGCGGAATAATAATAAATAAATAAATGACAGTTAATGGAGCTTGCTATCGGGACATGATAATCCAATTTTCTGCTTAAATTGCAAGATATGTATACGGACGATATATGGTTTCAACAAGACTGTGTCACATACAATACAGAGCGGAAAACAATTCAATTACTTGCATGAGTCGTTTTACGGTTGTGTAGATTCCCTTTCTCCTTTCGGTTTGCAATTTCCCGAACTGGCCGCCCAGATCATGCGATTTAACGCCGTTGGACGTTTTTCTTTGGGGTGTTTTGAAGTCTAAGGTTTATGCCAACAAGCCCACGGTCACTCATGCCTTGAGCAAGGAATCTGAGAGCTGTATTAACGACAATCAGCCACATTTATGCAAAACGATCATGGGGAATTTCAACAAAAGTGTGTGCATGTGTCAGCAAAGCCGTGAAGGCCGATATGCTATTCCAAATGTAATCCTGTACCGTATACTTTATGAATCAATAAAAAATTGCAAATTTTAGTTATGAACCTGTGTTTTCTATATAAATTATTTTTTGCGAGAATTTTGGGGCAACCTTTACATTAATACAGCAATGGTTAACAGTTGTTTCCATCCATATAAGCATAGATGCGCAAATTATTTAAATTTGATTTAACAAGACATCGGACACAACACATACATACAGTATAATGCGCAGGTACGACGATACAAAGTTACAGATCAAATGTGTGATATTTATAGGGTAACTTCAGGTATATGGCGCATTTAAAACATTTTTTATAATATCTAATGCCTGTTGAGGTTAAAAGTCCTGGCTGACACCATAAACGATGGTTTAAAGAAATAAAGAATGTAGAACTGATAGAAATTCAATTAAAGTTAACACTTTTAAATGAAAACTGAGAAATATATTCTTAATATGGGATTTAATGGAGTTTGCAGGAAACTTTAATAAGTATGTATAAAATAATTAGTGCCAAAATTTTGGGAATTGAATTTGTAATTCAGAAGTGGAAATACATCAGTTTTAGAAATAGAAGTTATTAAATTGAGATTGCGTATTTCTAAAAATAAAATAAAAGTAGACTGACCTAGTAAGTACCTGAATGTAGCACGCAAGCTGGAAGGAGCAGAAGCAGTTTTTCTGTCCACATGATAGACGTCGATGAAAGAGACATACAAGATGCCAGCCATACGACCAAGTCCGACCATGATCATAGAGGTAACACTCGCAGCGATTACTACAAACCATGCCCGACTTCTAGTTAGTTCCCCCATTGTTTTATTCTTCCAGTTTTTGATATACTGTCTGCGATATGTAACTCTAAAATAAATTCCATATTTCTTATAAAATACCAGATATCGAAATTAAAATGAATGCATGGAAAATTGCCACGTGGAAACAGATAAAAGTAATCATTATATTACATTTAATCAATTTTAACAAGAGAGGTAAAAACATCAATTTTAAAACATTTTAATATGCCTTTCATTTAATTACTAAATTTGTCTTTAAAAGTAAAATAAAATAATTTATCATTAAAAATCGTAATTATATTTAAATAATAAACTAATTAATTTAGAAAAACCGAAGAAATAAATCCTACAACATTATAATATATTCAGTTACTTACTTAATTTATCATTAGATATAAATCGAGCGAAATATTTAATCACATTTGAAATTATACTTGACGCTCAAAATTTTGTTTTAAAGAGCAACTGTACATCCATGGCATTTCAGTTGTGTCTGAGGTTATATTACAGTGAGCGAGATTAATCTGGAAGATAAAAGTTTATTACCAAGTGATATACGCCTTTGAAATTTGAAATGATTCTAAATTTCGATAAGAAGTTAAGGCAAAAATAGAAAGATGGATAAATTCAACGAAATTATCTCTCCTTCTACTTAAACACTTCCTTATCTATTCAGCACCTACCTAGGAGCAATCACAAACTGTCTTGAACATAGGAACGTAGCGTCTTTCAACACAGTTTACAGGATGACCATTATTGAGCTATATGAAATACAAAATCAGATTTCAAAAAATTACTCAGTTCAAAATTTTTATTCAAATTTGAAAAGTAACTAGAGATATTCAGATTTAGTTTATGACAATTTCGATATGCTTGCCATCAATGGCTATGACGCGACGCTGAAGTGTCGAGAGATCTTCCCGAATGGCTGTTTTGAGCTGAGGGACGGTTTCGGGGGGTTTATTTGCGTAAACTTTGTCTTTAATATTGCCTTACAAAAATAAATCACAAATGTTAAGATCAGAAGAATATGGCGGCCAAGCGATTCCCATTCCAGTGGCCTCTGGGTACCACAAAGCCAGAATGCGTTCTTTAAAATGCTCTTCCACTGCATGAACCACATCTTTTCGAAATCTGGACAAGAGAAATAACATCGGTCACTTTATTTAACCTGTTCCGCCAAACTAAGTCATTTTAGTCGTTGCTAGCAATCTGACGGTCAGGCCGCCTTTCTACATTTTACATTAATCTTCAGTTTATTGGATATAATTCTTTTCATTCCCTTGCTTCATTATCTCTAATATGCCCTTGTTTCAGTAATAGTCCGTGAACAGTCCATTCACAGGATATGTGAAGTAGTCCTTCCGAATCAGAACTGATACTATAAAAGCCCTATTTCCTAAAGAAGTATTTTTCAGCATAGTATTTAATTCATCGCTTCAGCAAGCTATTAAATTCCACGCGAGGAGATCTTCTGGTCAAAACAGCATATCTAACACAGTAATCAAAACCTTTCACCAAACGTGTCTGTGTTAGAACTGAAAACTCCCTAGTCAAATTCAAATTTAAAACTAAAGGCAGTAGTCAAAGACTGAAAATGTAACGTAATATATTGCCTCGAAGTGCACGCCTCTTGGTCAACTGGATATTTGGAATGGGAAATTTCTCCACACGATCTCTAACATTACGCAGAATTTTATCTGTAACATGTGATATCCTCACATTCTTTGGATGCTCTGCATTTCGTAAGACAAAGAGAACTCATAGGCTTTACGATACTGAACGTGTCTTATAGGAAAGCGGTCAGGCAGTCATTGGATTTTCTTCACATTCCGCCTACATCTCTGTTCATAAAATACATGTCCACCTTCTGTTGATTAATATATCAAATCAACCCTCCTAACATCCATAGTAAAACCCAAAGTTACTGTATCACAAGGTTTGCTATTGTATGACGACACTGTCTGTTCAAACGTATAACGCCAATGACTGTTTCTTAGTCTGCTCGAAAGGAACTTTTTCCCTTTTTCCTTTGATTTTTCTTTTCTCTCTATTCTGTAAGTAAATGACTTAAACATTGGGAAGATCCTAACCTTGTTTGTCTCTTGACCTTGGTTTCGACAAGGCCAGTAAAGTTTATGATCATCTTAATGCTGGAGCTCAGTGATATCATTTGTTGTATACAAGTGAGACATACGAAAACACAAAGAGCGGACTATGAGTAAATGATGTAACAACCTCAAAAATTTCTGGTTAGGATGAGCAATTCTTGCAATATAGTAACATTGAGAGTAAAAACGACGAATGTGGAAACAAAAGCTTAAATGTTTTAACTGGAAAGCGCATTCTTTCTCTCATCGTTTGAGTTATGCCTTTGTGTAACGAATGCGCTTGTTTAATAGTGTTCTACATCTTTAGAAACTTTTCCAATCATTTTTGAATCACCCAACAACTGAAAACCCAACAACTGAAACTTGTAGAATACGAAAAGTAAAAAAGGGGTATATAGCTTATGGCACTTCGCATCCCTCTTAATTCTTTGTGTTTTCACACAAAAGCTCACAACAGAAGTTTACTACTGATGTTAAACTTACAATCGTGGATTCTTGAACTCCTTTTTTCGAAATTTTGATTCTTCCAGAATCTCAGACTGTGGCAAAATTAATGCAGCATCTTACGAATTATCAGGTTAACATGCAGACACAATCTTCACTACCGGAATGGCGTTGGAGATGATTGAGTGGAACACGAATCAAACACTAGCTAGGGTATCAAATAAAAGAATACCCTTCGTTCTGATCTCTCTCGTTTTAGTAGTAAAACTTCATGACATCGGTTTCAAAGACGTGGCAAACAGAAAATGCAGTTTTCCAGTATATCTAGGTTTGTGTTATATTAAATAATAAGGACAATTTTTATTCACTCTTATTAACTTCAAAATAATTGGACATGAAATGATAGAAAGCTATTTGTGGCAACTTACATGTATCGTCTTTGAAAACAAATGTTTTATCCGATAAACATGAAAGTGAACACAAAAACAAAATATTATTGTTCGCAGTTACAAGGAATATTTAAAAAAATTTTTTTTTTCTTTTTCCTCCTATTCATTAGTAGACGAATCTTCCTCGCTTATTCAGCTAGCTTAATGAAAGTTATATTGCATTTAAAATTTCTTCAAACACCCATGTGATCTTTCGAAATCTTCGAAACCTATCTTTGAGGAGAATAAAAGTCGGCATGCACTCTTTCATCTTTGGGGGGGGGAAATCGCATCAGGGTTTGTGTATTTTAGAGATAAGTTTTGAGGCCTATCTAACTGGCTGGCTCTATTGACGTTTTCATGGCTTTTCTCATGTGTAAGATGGATACGAGGCAGTTTCGCTTAGAATGTACTCCATGAACGCGTTTAGGCGAAGGGCAGTGTTGGTAATCGTGTGCTTTGCCGTATTCAAATAACCTAACTATCCATAGGAATACAATTATTTTCAGTTTTCGCAGCCAAGCAAATCTTTATTCCTCTATCTCCAGAAATTTATTTTCCAGCAAGTGTTTAGGGAAAAGGAACGGTCTCGTTACCAGTATATCGCTTACAGGAACAACCTTTTATTGCTCTTTGTTAATTATACTCAATATATTTTTTGAAATTCTTGACTTTGTGCTATTCGAATCTTAGTGAAGATGTAACATCCATTTTATTGCCCTTTTTTTCTTATTATTCACGGAAAACTTATTTTCTTAACATTGACAAGATGGAGCGTTTTATTACTAAGAGAGAAACGTTATGCTTCTAATAATGGCAAATTTTATGACACATATACTGCATTAGGCATAGCATAGCTCGACTTCAAAGCTTGAGTGGTCTCACTCCTTCTTTTTTCAGCTGATTTATGTTTTTAAAAACTGAAACGTTTGTCTTTAATATCAGTAAAATGAAGATAATTTAGTGCTTATACCTATGAATCTTTTTAATTATAACCTAAATTTATAGATCATGAGTAAGTAAATTTTCTAAAAACTCCGTCTTATCCTTTGTTTTTGAGATTTCAGACTTCCTGTGACCTCTAATTTTTAAAAACTCATGTTTCCTGAGAAAGGATATTATATTAGTTTACTTGCATTAATTTTTTTTGTTTCCGTTTTTCATATCATTCTTCTGTATATTTAAAGAAAGGCTGTTATTTTTTCTGATATAATTATCTGTAAAGAAGTGACTTCTTTTATAGGTGCCAATGAAATGTTTTATATTTGTCACAAACAGCTACAAAATATATTGTTGGCTACTGAATTGCTACACTATGCAGAAAACAGTTAGGTGAACCATACGTATTTTAAAAACAATATTACGGTGTAAGAATAAAATGATTAAAATTTTAAGCAGTTCTGACAAACGAAGTCCTCAAATCCTGATCTCCCAATTTAGAAAAAATATACCTTATCCGGCTTATAAACACGAGCTTGTAATGCAGAAAACAAGATCGAAATTTACGCGTGCGCCTTATACGCCGGATATGGAATAATATATTTAAAGAGAAGGAAAAGATGAGTACAAAAGAATTAGATTTCTAGATTTACTTAATGCTGCTTACTTAAAAGAAATACCTTATGAACTTTAAAAATTTTCATTATTGGATAACATGAAAAGTGCATCATGTTCGTCTTCCGTTATATCTTTAGGCACATCATCGAATTCTGTTTCATCTTCACCATCATTGTTACTCTGATCAGTAAGTAAATAATCATCTTCTGTTCCAGCTGTTTTGTTAGATATATCATATTTTATAATTGACTTTTGAATTATGTTAGGTTTAATTTTATTGCATGTTTTTGTTGTCCATTCGCATACTATTTCTAGACTCGAATGATACATCCTCCTTTTCTAAATGTTTTTTCACTTTCTAACATCCACATATTCCACTGTCCTTTTAAAATTTTTTGAATGTGATACACATATCTAAAGGCTGAACTAATGGTGTTAATATGCCTGGAACAACTGCCGTGTCTGTATTACACTCTTTCAACAATTTCTTAGTATTATCCTTTAAATGGGATCTGAACATGCCCGAAAGTAAGACTTTGTAGATTCTTCCATCCATCCATTCTTTGTCGTGAACATGAATGTGAACACGATTTTGGTTAAAAATAACTATGGGTTTTAATTTTGTACCGTCCGCTGAGCATGAAACCACTGCAGTGAGGAGAGATTTCTCGTGACGTGTCGTTTTTATGTGAACAGTTTTGTTCCTTTCACATCAATTGTATTATTTCCTATCATACCAGATATTACTAGAGTTTCATCTATATTTCCAGTATGTGATAATAAATAAATTTTTTGCCTTCGTAGGTCAAAAACATACTTCTCGAAACTTACCAATTTGTTGTCCAAATCTTTCAGAATTCTTTGCAAAACTTTTGTCTTTTATCATAGAACTAAATTATTCCGTGCCATAAATCAACTGCATCAATTCAAAGGTGCTTTAAAGTTTTCACTTTCATTTGCATTCTTTTTTTGCCCACT